TTGGTTTTTTTTTTTTTTTTTTACATTTTCATCTCTTTCTTCTGAGGGACCCAAAAGTAAGATATTCTGTTACTTTAACTTTATTATTTCTTTTTGACACAAAGTTATTTCATTCTCCACAAATTTCCTTAATCTTCATTCTCATTGTGCAGTGAGTGCCAGGTCCTTCTCCCTCAGGTATCAGGCAGGCCCCTGACTGGTACATGGGCTTCTGACTCTGCCCGCCAGTGAACTGCTCTAGAGACTGCTGCTGCAGTGAAACACTGGCCAGGCCTTGAAGGACCTCTTCAAATGCTTCACCTTCTAACACTGCCTGTCCTCCTTCAGGCAGGGTCTATGCATGTATCTTTCCAGGTTTCAGGAGTCTAAAGTTCAAATCTTTTGATGACAGCTGTCATTAAAAGATGGAGGATTGTCTCTCTAGTGGTTTTGTATCCAGGCTCTGAACCTATGTGCCTTGTTTTGGTTTTTGTTTGTTTATTTGTCTTTTGGGGGGGTTGTACCTGGCATTGAACTCGGGTCCTTGGGCTTGAGAGGCTGGCAGCGGAACCACTGAACTAAATCCCTGGCCCATATGTGCCTTGTTTTGAAGTAGTGTTAGGTGAAAACCTTGATTATGTGTGTAGCAAATTTTCTGTCCAGTTTTCCGTGACTTGGGTCAGAGAATAGATGGACACACGCATTCAGAGGAAAGCTGGGGGAATTTTGAGGGGCTGGGTGGGGTGTCAGATCTTCCTGTTTGAGATGAAAGCAAATTTCTTTCCCATCCCCTCTCCCTTGTATCCCTCTCTTGCCCTCCTCTTGACAATGTTGCCTGCTTCTGGAAGCTGAGCAACAGTCCACCACCTTCCTCCTTTCTGACACCTTCAAACATGAAGGCATGTGTCGCCCTGACATGGACAGAGCAGCCATGCCTACCTCAGCTTAGCCATACCACCTGGGCTCCCCAGGAAAGCTGGGCAGGAGACCCCCCACAGCCTTGGCATCAGAGGAGGCACATTCCTGGGGCGGGGGGTCCCAGGCTCTCAGTTTCTCAAATACCCAGCATTACCGGGAAATTGTGTCACACACATGGATAGGACTGAATATGTGCCCACTATGTGCAGCTGTCTCGGTCATAATACACAGATCCGAGGCCCTGTAAAGTGACACTTGCAGGTCCACCATTAATCACCAATTTCTTCGTTCTGAGAAGATGCTCAGCTACAACCATTGACTCAGAGGACATCATCACTTCTGGATTGATCATTTAAAAAGTACCGAGATCAGAAAGCAGTAAAATTTCATTTCCCTGATTTTTCTTTTCCCACAGGAGCAAATTGTACCCAGGATGATATTGTATCTTTGCTTCTGAGGGGAATAACCTTTAAAAATAAGTATAGGTTTGTCCCAGTTATAGAAATGGATTTTTTTTTAAATTCCAGATGTGCAGTCATCTCCATTTCTGGGTAGAAATGTGGAGGAAGATTTTGCACTGAAACTTATATCCCAAACCAATAACTTCACTGCAAAAGAAATTTCGTTCCAGTGTCCAGAGACAGGTGTCTTACTACAATTACTTCTCTGTTCTCTTTCACAGTGGAGATGTTGCCTTTGAAAAATCTATCGATTCTAACAACATCGTCCAGCAAGAAAGAACTGTGAGTGTTAAATGATGTAGATATAATAGAACAACAATGTTCAATAATTAGTTACATGGCACCCTTGTTCTGATGCTCTCATTCTGAGTGGTCCTTATCTGGTCACCCATTTGACCTTGATTGTTGGTGTTCCCTGGGCAGCAACACTGTTTGGGGACAGGTGTGGTCCTTGTCCTTGAGGAACATGCTATGTAGCTTCACATAAGCCATTTAACTGGATTTCCAGGTGTGAGGATGTTGGGGAGCAACAGACTCTGTGGGAGGGAGGTAAGAGGTCTAGATGATAGGGATCATTGATGCTGGGTGAAGGTATTTGAATTTGACTCAAGAGACTGTAGGACACCATCAAGAGAGTACAAAATACATTGGCTTTAGAGGTGATAATTCTGGGAATAGTGTGTTCAAGGATGCAAGAAGCAGCAATACACCCAAGAGAATTGATGGGGTAACTAGGAGAGGTAGATGGTCCCTCTATTGTATCCATAGGGGCTGTTACATAGTGTGTTGCACTAGTCAGCTTTCTGGTACTGTAACAGAATACCTGACACAACTTTAAAAGTGGAAAGGTTGGTGGGCATGGTGGTGTATTTGTGTAATGCCAGCATTCAGACCGAGGCAGAAGGATGCAAATTTGAGCCCCTGGGCCACTTAATGAGAACCCTATTTCAAGTTTTTAAAAATTAATAAAAGGACTGGGGATATAGCTCAGTGATAAAGCCTTGGGTTTAAATCCCAGTAACAAAAGAAAAATGGAGTAAGAAAAAGAGGAAGAAGAAGAAGTACAGAGAGAAAGAGAGGAGGAGAAAGAGGAAGAAAAAGGAGGCAGAGAAGAAAAAAGGGGTTTATATTGCTGTTTACTGTTTGGAAGTTTCAGTCTATGATCAGTTGGCCTATTGCTTTGGGGCTTGCACATCATGGTGGACAGTGTGTGGCAAAGCTTTTCTCCACATGGATGGGACATGATAAGAGGAAGAAACCAGGGTTCACCAATACCCTTTGAGGACACACCCCAAAAGACCAGAAGACCTCCCACTAGGGCCCACCTCTTATAGTTCCACATCCTCCCAACAGGCTGGCTCCCAGCTTTTAGCACAAAGTTCCCTGGGGGCTGTTTAATGTCCACACTGTAGCATGCATGCTCACTGAAGACTGAATAAGCATACAATAAAAATGCCAAGGAAATCTTTGGGTCTATTGAAAATCCCAAACCACATGTAAATACATACCTGGGGAATCTAAATTGAATTCCTCTCTTTCTTTCCTTCCACTTTGCTAAATTGTTTCTCCAGCCCCAGAATCCCTGCAGTTGCTGCCAAGAACCCCCTGCATAAACACAAACTTTAGCAGCTCCATGCCACCTTTTACTATAAATTTGTGAAGAAAATATTTTAATACATGGCATCTAAATTTGACTCTGGGGCTTGAGGTAGCTCAATGGTAGAGTGCACCTTAGCAGGTGCAAGGCCTGGGTTCACTCCCCAGCACCAAAAACTTAAAGTCAAAATTAACATGAAATTAGTTTTTGAAAGACCAGCTCCTTGCAATGTGTAATGAAAGGCTCATGCCTGTAATTTCTATGGAAGAAGAGGCTCAAGGGAATTGGCTTTTTCTGATGTTTTGTGCAAAGCACTTTTATGTGCTCCTTGTGCTCGCTTCTTGAACGTTCCAATCCTGCCCTGCCAGATGACTTCTGAAGAGGTGAAGCACGAATGTACTTGTCATGTTGCAAGGGAGGGATTTCCGTGAACTGGGACAAAGCACAGTCTGCCTAGGGCTGCAGCTCCTTGCTTGAGCGCGCCCACTTGGGAAGCTGGTGGAGTCTGGATTCCTGGCTCTCCCTGGGGTGGATGTTTTCACACTGTAGGTGCAGCGGGGTTTGCAGCAGGGTTTGCAGCGATGAGACGCCAGCCCAGAGTTGGAGTGGAGGGCTCCTTGGGTCTTCTCTATTGGAAGCGCTGAGGCCAGCCCAGTGCACTTCAGGGATAACTCATCCTTCCTGGTGATTCACCCCAGCACCACCCACCTGATGCCAGCAAAGTGCCAGCCATCAGATGGCACAGAATCAGAGCCAGCCTTCTGAAGTAGATAATGACCTGTCCCCATGCCAGGTGTTGCAGCTCAATATCCAATTTGAAATGTGTTATTTAGCCTACTTTATTCATAGGGAAGTTATTCAGAAAGCCATGGGAGAGCTGGCCTAGTGGCACACATCCATAATCCCAGCACCCAGGAGACTGAGGCAGGAGCATTGCCACAAGTTCCAAGCCAGCCTGGGCTACATAGTGAGACCGTCACAAAAACAGACAAACAAAAATGAAGGACAGGAGAACCCTGAAGAAATCATTTCAAATAAAACCCAGTCCTTCAGACTGGGGCAATCACAAGTCCCCTTGCTCAGAAGGGGCAGCAGTGACACCAGGAGAAATGAGAAATGTCCCTTCTGCCCTGTCACCTTTTTTCTTCCTTAGCAGTCTATAGTTTGCTATTTTACAGCAGTCTTGTTGGCTACATCCCTGAGATTTTTGATATAACGGACCATTTTTTATGAACCAGGCCTGACGATCCAGACAAGATGCAATTTTATTTCCAGAAGCAACAGTTATATGCAAAAAGGCTGTAGGAATGTGTTTGTGACATCAAATTATTCATCAGTCATATTTTTATTGGATGGGGTAATTCATAATGACCACAGAAGATGACCCTAAGAGTAGTCAGTTTGGATCGTACATTATATCCGGGCCCCTCCCTGGTGGCCAGAGTTCATAAAATTATAGAAAAAGGTTAACACTGCTTGGAATGAAATAGGAGGAAGAAGTTACTAGAATCAATAGTAGTCTAGGAATGCTCACAGAGACATTAATTTAAAGCAGCAATGTGGTCTTGACATGGTTTATATGCATTTGATTTTAAAGAAATGATCCACCATGTAAATTTTTTTCTAGTGTGAAAATAATTCACCACTAAAGACAGGTCCAGTTGTCCCTCCTCTATCTGAAATCAGAAGATGTCCTCTTTGGGAGCAAGAACTGGCAAAGAAATACTCCTATACAATGGTAGGTTTTGCCAGGTGTGGTGGTACACACCTGCAGTCCAAACTACTGAGGCTGAGGCAAAAGGATCACAAGTTCGAGTACAACCAGGGCTACTTAGCAAGTGTCTGTCTCAAAATAAAATTTAAAAGGGCTGGGGTAAAGCTCAGTGGTAGAGTGTTTAGTTTACCTAGTCTGCAGGAGGCCCAGAGTTCAATTCCCAGTAACACACACACACACACACACACACACACACACACACACACACACACAAAGGCAGGTTTGTCTCACAGGGGAAGCCATGTGATGTTTTATGCCATGTGATGTTTAAGGCAGGAAATGTCTCATTTGCCTGTAGTCATGGTTGTGCCCTGAGTTATATTTACCTCCTCACAAACCTGTGAGCACCATGGTGCCCCACTTCCCCAGGCGAGGCAGTGACAGGACACTTAGTCCATCCTCACACCTGTGTGTGAAGTCCCACTTGGAACTGTGGGGTCCCTCCTTTCTATGGTGTGGCCCTCCCTGCAACAGAGACACAGATCTTCTAGAAATTGGGGCTGGGAAATACTGGGTGGGGATTGGGGTTTAGGGAGAAAGTTGGCAGCCTTTAGACTGGTCAAGCAACACTGGAAATATGAGTTACAACATCAAAATGCAAATGACCTGAACCCTAAGTCAGTAAGGCCCACATCGCTGGGTGAAAAGAAACAGCCAGCAGCCCTGCACTGTCCTGTCCGAGTCACCCAGGTGTGGCCCCTGGGAGCTGCAGCTGGGTCTCAGAGGTCACTTCCCATCTCCTTTCTAGATGGCCTTCCTTGCTGATGAATACTGCAACTACTGTCAAGACATTTTGCAAAATGTGAAGAACCAAGAACTCGAGAGGGTAGGTTTTCATCTCTACAGGGCACGCGTCTGTGACCGGCTGGCACCATTCCGCTAGCCGGGACCCCTCCAGGAGAGCTGGGGTGTGCAGGGCACTGAAGGGCTTCGGAGGCGGTCAGGGAGTCCTGGAAGGTGGCCCTGGCATCGGGTTTAATCTTTGGGATGCCTCCAGGATGCTCGTAGCTGATGTCTTCCTGCTGTAAGCACAAATTCAGCTTCTTTTTACTTTTAGATCCGAATTCCTGCTGAGTTTGAAAGAAATACTGGCAATAATAGTCATCCTGGAATTTCCAGTGATGCCAAAGAGTTGGTATGCATCAGTGGAAAGACAAGCAGGCCTTTAAAGCAGATGATCTACAGTGGGAATTACAGAGTTTATTCCACAACTGACTGTAGAACATTCGCATGTAGCTCATGGCAGAGTGTATGCTTAGGATGTGCTTAGTGTGTGCTTAACATTTGCAAGACCTTGGTTCAATCCCCAGCACCAAAGGAAATCGACAAAAAGGTAGAATTGGCTATAGAAAACATAAATAAATCTGTTAGCTGTAAGATGAAAATCTAGGGAAACAAGAACACAGTCAAATGAAAATTTTTCCAGTGCTTTATTATTCTAAGCACTTGGACTTTGGATGAGAATAAAGTCACTCAGCAATAATCACATTCATTACCACCTCAATGCAAAGGACTCCGTGAGGGAGAAGCCATGGTGCCTTCAGAATGACCCCGATATCTGGGTAATATCATAATCATAGTGTAACCATCCACACATACACGCTTGGGATCTGACATAGTCCTTCCTGCCTCCATTCGTCCTGCATCAAATATTTACTGAAATCACACCTTGTGACCAGCACAATTTCTAGGACTAGGAAAGTATCCTCCACAAGACTTGAGAAATGTACACTCTGGTAACAAAAGGAACAATATCAGCCAGTAAATGAGACAATGTGAGATGTTTGGGAATAGCTGTTTATCAGTCCACTTCTATTGCTTCACCAAAACACCTGAGACAATCAATTTAAAATAAGGGAAGGCTTGTTTTGTCTCATGGTTTTGGAGGTTTCAGTCCAAAGTCGGTTTGGACCTGTCACTTTAGTGGAGAGGCTGCCCCTAACAGCAGGAAGCATGTGGAGGGGACTGCTCCTCATAGCCAGGAAGCTAAGAAAAATGAGGAGATGCCAGGACCCCACAATCCCCTTCAAGAGCACAGCCCCACTGACAGGAAGACCTCCCAGTGGGCTGCACCTCTCAAAAGTTCCAGTAGCACCACCGGCCTGGGACCAAGCCTTATAGCCATGTCCAAAGTGCAGCCTCCCTTTTTTCCCTCAAGGAATTGTCTCAGGCCACATTAAAGATGTATAACATAGTAAGGTATATAAATAACAAAACTTCCTTGAAAATATTTTAATTAGAACATTTTAAACAAGAGAGGAGAGAAAGAAACAGAAAAAGAGAGAGAGAGAAAGCAGACATGCTTGCAAACATATAGGTCTTTAGGGAAGGCCAGATCCAAACTATAGCGGTTATTATAACAAAATAGCAGAGGCAGATTGTTTTTATAAAGAACAGTGGTTTATTTGGCCTCACAGTTCTGAAGGTGCAAGGTCTCGGGACCTCACTGGTGAAGGCCTTCTTGCTGGCAACCCAAGGTGGCACAGAGCATCACACAGCAAGGGAGAGACTAGAAACTGTGTGTGTGTGTGTGTGTGTGTGTGTATGTGTGTGTGTGTTACACAGCCATCAACATTCAATCATGTGTCTCCACCCTGACAACCTTATCCAATCCTAATCACTTCCTGGATTAGTCACTTTTCTATCACTGGAACAAATTACCCAACATCTATAACTTAAAGAGTTTATTTGGCTCAGTTTCCAAGGCTTTAGTCCGTGGTCCTCCAGCTCTAAGACACGAACATCATGGTGGATAGGCAGGCATGGCAGTCAGGAAACAATGAGAAGAGAGAAGTCAAGGACAAGAACACAGCTTTCTAGGTCAAGACCAGTGACTCCCTTTGGCCAGATCCCACCTCCTCACAGCACATTCAGCTATGAATTCATCTATGGAGGAATCCACTGATGAGTACAGCACCCCATGATCCAGTCACCTTCCACACATATGAGGCTTTGGGGGAACTTTAGGATCTAAGCTGTACACTTCCCAAAGACCCACCTCTGAATGCCATGGTCAGATTCCATTTCCTGACTCTTACTACTTCACAATGGGGATTAAACTTCTGTATGAGCTCAGTGGAGCCACATCATATCAAACGACAGCAAGCTGTAGATTAGGACACATTGGGGGCCCAGGAAGGTACCAGAGAAGGCTGGAGAGTGCCTCCAAAACAGGCCCTGTGGCTGCCAATCCTAGAAGGAAAAGCAGAGGCTCAATGAACAGGAAATGGGGCAGAAAAGGCCTTCCAGACAGAGCGTGTAATGTGGTGAAAGACATCAAGATGGTCTCAGGCAAGACAAGACAGGATGTGCCTCAATTATATCTAAGGGTGAAGCCAGAGAGACAGAGGGCAAGTAGGCTGCTGCTAGCAAGGGCTTCATATGCCCCACAATGACTTCTGATTTATTCAGACAAAGGGAAGCAGTGACGTGGATTTGAGCATGTCAGGAGGTTTTGTTATAGTTCAAGTGAGAAGGAACAAGGTCAGTCTGGAGCAGTGACACAGAGAAGAAGGGGGCAGATTAGAGAGACATTTCTAAGGTAGGCCCAATAGGACCTGCCATATGATATTGGATGCAGGTGTTGAGGTTACTGTCCCTGTTCAGACCCGATGACCTCACAGGGCCAAATTCCAAAGTTACCAACCTAAGAGGAACAGGCTCCTGCATGCTATGCTTCATTTCTGAGTCTCTGCTGTGACATCTTTTCTAGAATTTATCTTTTTTTTTTCTTTTGTTACCTGTGGTTTTGATGGTTTGTTGTTATTGTTGTTGTTGGCTGCAGCACCAGGGATCAAACTCAGGACCTTGCTCTTGCCAGGCAGGTGCAGCACCACACCACTGAGCTAAATCCCCAGCCCTCCTCTTCTCTAGAATTGATGCCTCTGACAACAGGATCTAGGTCATAGGCCTATCACCATGAACTCAAGGGCTAACCCTCACTTTCTTGATGGCCTACACATGGGAATGGCACCTGCCTAGCATCACTTGGGTCCTTGCGGTAGCTCAGAATAACTATTCTGTGGAAATTTCCCAGGTCAAGAGTCTTTACTGGCTGGAAACCCAGATTGGCATCTGGCTCAAGAGAAGATTCTGGAAAGGCAACATGGAGGAAACAGAAAAGAAAGGAAGCTGCCATTTTGTTCCTCCATAGGCCTTTAGAGATGGCTTCTATGTAGAGTTACATCAACCTCTGTGCTTACACTGCCCTTGGGAAGCTTCCAAATCCAGGTCCAAAGATAGTCAAGATGGATGGTCAGTTAGTCAATGAATATTTATTCTCAACTCTTGACCAGGGTTTTCCTGGCCTAGGCCTCACCCTATCATAATCAACTAGAGCCCCCTGGTGGTGAGAAGTGGCTTTCTAACTAAAGAATATCCTCAAGCAATTTATATTCCAGGCCCAGTCCAACAGGCAGGCACTCTGATGGACACAATCTTCCCAAAAGACAGCCTGGGAAAGCAGATGGACAAAGCTTTATATTCATCAGAATGGATTCACCTCATTATCCTTCGGGGCTAATTAAATCTGCACCGAGATTATTCTCCCAAGGCACAAAATGAGCTCACAGTGCTCTGTTCTTTTCCACCAGGTGCAAGACTTGCTTATGTCTTTCTGGAAATCTCTACAGCAAGACATAGTAATGTTCATGGCCCTTCCTGATGTGTGCCAGCTCTTGAAGTCCTATGATGCACAGCTGTACAAGGTAGGAAGACACTGTCTCTGCTCTGTGTCCTTCCTGGAGTGCCCACCTAGAACTCTAGCCCACCCCTCACCCTGCAGTGTTCATGGACTCCAGGTCCTCCAAGGAGTAACTAATGGGGCGATGGGCCATGAGCCTTTTGATCTCTGTCTGAAACTCAGCTTTCCTGATTTAATTTCCTCTTGTAAAGAAAAATCCACAGCACACAGGGACCTGTGATTCCAGTGCCGGTGACCCCAGAACTGAGCCAAAGTTCTTTCCCTGGACATTTTAAACAAAGAAGACATTTTAAAATAAGCCATCAAAGGGCTGGGGGTGTAGCTCGGTTCCTCTGCCTACCTTGCAAGCTAAGGGCCTAAGTTCGATTCCCAGTACCAAAAAATAAATAAATAAATAAATAAATAAATAAATAAATAAGCCATCAGGACAGTTGCTATGGAGTATGAGTAACAGCCAGGAATCTGATTTGGTTTTGTTTGAAGCTGTACTCAAAAACAGTGGTCATAAGTTTGAGGGTTAGTTATTTATCATTTTGTCATAACACGCACTTCTGTGAGTCACAAACCTTAAATTTTGTTAGTTTTTTAGGAAATAATTCTTGTGCTTCTCAATTTGTAACACAAAAGTGCCAAACTGGAGGCTTGTTTCAATCCTTAAATGTGTTTGGTGTGACCCACCTAGTGTGGGCAGCATATTTTTAAGTTAAGGGCTAGGGCTGTATAGTTCCTTGGTCGCACTCCTGCCAAGCATGTGGGTTCAATCCCCTGCACCAAAGGAAAAAAAAAGGGGGATTTACCTCAGTGGCACCATGCCTGCCTCCACGCAAGCATAAGGTCCTGAGTTCAATCCCTGGTGCTGAAAAAAACAGACATCACTCTTTGTAAACAGTTCAAACTCTGCTGCACCAGCCCAGTACCCTCAGACTTCAGTGATAATTCCTGACCCTGTGGCCCTGGAGAGCTTTGGTTCTGGTAAGTAGCAGCCCCTGAAGCAGCTACTGAGTCACAGCACCCTGATCCTTCCATCACAGGGACTTGAAGATATTCTCCTGTGTGACTTTCTGGATGCCGTTTCTATCCAGTACCTGAAATCTGTCCGGTTATTTAGCAAGAAATTTAAGCACTGGCTTCTTAAGGCATTGGAAGGTTTCCCATCCCTCTTGCAGGTCTCCAAACTCAAAGGTAAGTCCCCACCACCCCAAAACAAATTATTTTGTTTATAATGTTTGTAAATACACAATGATTACTTTCATTGTGGGGTGTTGGTCGTATACATAGCACAATTTTTCACTTCCCATCCTCCCAAACCCCTTCATCTCTTGCTCCTCTTCCTATTTACAAAAGATCTATCTCCCTGTTTTCTACTATCTTTTATTTTGCTCTTTAAATTATTTATGCTTTGGACTTCTCATATAAAAGAAACCATGTGATATTGAAGCTTGTGTGTCTGGTTTATTTTACTAAACATTATAGCCTCCAGGTGCATCCATTTTTCTACGAATGCCTCAAGTCTATTCTTCTTTGTAGAAGAGTAGTACTCCACTGTATGTAAACACATTTTCTTTATCCACTCATCTCTTGATGAACACACAAGCTGCTTCCAAGATTTAGCTATTGTGAATTGTGCTGCTATAAACGTGGATGAGCGTGGATCACTGCAATATGATATCTTTGAGTCTTTGGGGAAGATAACAAGAAGGAAAACAGCTGGGTCAAATGGAATTTCTAGTTTTCATTTTTTAAGGAATCTCCATGATGATCTCCACTGTGGTTGTAGTGGTTTACATTCCCACCAATGGTGCAGTAAGATGAACAATTTAAAGTTCTCACTGAAGAAACCCAGTCCCCTGCTGGGTAGGGTGCCATCTTGTCCTACACAAAGCCAGTCTGGACCCCTGAGGGCTCGGCGCTCTCTCTCCCTTAGTGCTGGGCCTGGGTCTTGGCTGACACCTTCACACCGTTTTTGGAGATTCCCCTGTGAGCAGTCATGTGGACTCAAGTCCAGTCCACAGGGCTGGGAATCTGAGAACCACACCACTGCAGAGTGGGACCTGAGCCTCTGGGCAGTTCCTGGTCACTTGTGAGCATTGTTAGTCTCTTTGGCTCTGGCTCCAGCCTCCTTCTGGTCTCTCGCTGCTCTGTGTGAAGTGTTGTTTCCTCCTTATAAACCACTTTGTAGCCTTAGCTTCCTTTCACCTCCAGGAACTCTGTCCCTTGCATCACATGGTCCCCGCTGACTCTCCAGAACGCTTGTCCCCTCTGTCTGGCTGCCGGGAGTGCTCTCTAAGTAAAGGTTGAGCACCCCTAGTCAGACAACCCTGAATCTGAAACACTCCCCAATCTGACACTCCTTGGGCGCCGACTCAATGCCACAGGTACGAAGTTGCACATCTGGCCTGAGAGGCTGCGTCGTCCCAGGGAGTCGCAGGTGTGCCACCTGTGTTGAGCAAGCTGACCTTCAGGAGAGTGTTTATGAAACATAATGAGCTTCACATTTAGACTTGGGCCCCATCCCCAGAAAGCTCATCCTGTGTATGCAGATATTCCACAATCCAAAAGAAAATCAGAAATCTGAAACACTTGTGGGCCACCCATCTGGGAGAATGTGCTGAACCCTGTGCTGCTGCCCCAGGATGCCAGGCTCCCTCCGTCTCTGCAGGGCTTCCCGTCATGAGCCTGAGCTGTGCCACTGGCCTCTCTGTGCTACCTCGGCTCAGGGGCCCTTTAAGTGTCACCACACAGTCCCGCCCACACCTGCTTCCCCTCACCCTGGTGAAGTCTGATCCTGACCCACAGTCCTTTCTGGTGTCCCTCCCTTCCCACGTCCACCCTTCCCCCAAAGCGCAGCGGCTCCCTCATACCTGAGCCCTGCCTCCTCGGCTGTTTGCTCCCAGGTAGCACAAGGTGGTGTCTTCCAGGACAGACAGAGCCTTGTCTCCTGCTGCCCCGGCCCCCAGCTAACACCCTGATCCCAGTTTCCACCACTTGGAAATTTGGAGCCTAGTCAGATGGGGCCACAGCTCAGCAGACAGCAGGGGGGCGATGTGGAAAGGGAGGGACAGAGTGAGGCTGCGCTTGCTGGGGTGAGGAGGGGTCTGTGAAAGGGACAGAGGCTGCTCCAGCCTTCCTGTGGCCCCCAGCACCCACTCCAATTCAAGCCCCCCCACACTGTGAACAAACAGGGTACAGAGCCCTGACAGATGCTGGACTGACACAACTTTTGGCACATGGAAAATATTTCAGCCCCAGGCACTGGGGAAGGTAGGGACAGCTCAGGCTCTGTGTCCCAGCTCAGCCCTGTGCACCTCCTCCTCTCCCAGGCATGGGAATCTGAGGACTGTACCAATCATGGCCTCATGCATTGTTCTCCGCAGAGGTCACCGTGTTTGTCAACAGACTCCGGAGGAAGACGTACCTGTCCAATATGGCAACGGTAGGTCACAGGCAGGACAGAGCAGAGGGCTCGAGGTCAGAGCAGAAGCTGAAAGTCTCCCCCAAGAGCAGAGAGTCTGGGCTTGCTGAGAGGTGGGCAGAGAATAAGAAAAGGAGGAAAAAGCCACGGTGCCCCTGAGTCCCAGGAGCAGCAAGGCCAGTCTGCAACAGGTGAGAGGTGAGCATTCTGGTGTAGGTTAGGACCCCAGGGTAGAGGATCTTACTCAACTCCATTCTTCTTTCTCCTCCACGACAATGACAGAAGCTTGGTTATGTTGGAGGGGCAAACCGGGCAACAGTCACACACCATGGTTTGAGAGGTCATGACAACCCCCCATTGTCTTTAGACCATGAGGACCATGCTGAGAAACAGCAGGAGGGTCAGGCTCCTGAAGTCAGATCTCCAAGCCATCATCAGCCAGGGGGCCTTGGACATCTCTCCGAAGGGGCTGGCCAGTGACCTGAGCCACACAGAGGAGCCCGAGAGCGCCCCAGAGATGAAATGTAATCCTCCTCTTGCACTTTTCCTGGCCGGGGTATTGGGTGTCTATTTAGTGCTAGCTTGGCTGTCACGGCTACTTCCTCAATATACGACAAACTCCTCTCCCTCTCTGCTGAGCTAACGCATGAGCTCACGCAGGTCTTCCTGCCAGGGTGACAGCGTCCAAGACAACACCCTGTAGCCCTGCAGCCCTGCAGCCCCAGCTTCCAGGACCTTCCCAAGTATCACACAGGGCATTTGGCTGCTCCGTGTTTGCTGAGTGAATGAACAAATGGAGTCTGACATTAAGTGTTCAGGGCTGCCATGGGACAGTATTTCTTTCTAGGGTGTCTCCCTTAAGAGAAGCTCTTGTTTTCTACATTCCCCCTTATAAATACACGGACTCAAGTTTCTCTTCTGTCAAAAACTGGATGGACCCAGCTCTGCCTTGCCAGGTTCCAGTGCCCCCACTGCCACAGCATCAAGTGTCCTTTTTAAGAGTGTGCAGTTTGGCAGTGGTGCTTGTTACCACCTTACACAGCTGTGCAGACCAGTGACAATGAAGCACATGCATGGCCTTGCCCTTTGCCATCTGACAAGTGTAATTATTTTGGAAGGAAAAAAAACCTTCCTTCTGCAAAGAGCCTGTGCTGCAGGCTGACCCGTGATGTCCCTAGTGGGGGGCATCTGCAAAGACAAGAACCTCCTCAGACCTAGGGAAAGAGTGACGCCCCCTCCCCTGATGACATGATGTGCACCAGGAGGCGGCCGCAGGTGCCAGGCTCCTGTTTTGGATGCCCCGATGAGATCAAGTAGGCTCTCCCTCCGTGGGCACAGCCCTTCCAGGTTCTCTCACCAGAGTGTGACGCTGCTTGCCTGGTCTCTGTGAGCTCCTTCAAGGCATCACCTGTGTCTTTTCACCTCGGTCCCCCAGCATGGTGTTGGCACACAGCAGCGCTTCGGTATTCCTTAGCCAGATGAATCTGTAGGTCCAGAACCCATAAATTATCCCATCTTCTCCTTCACCTTGATTTAGGGCTGACCTTGGTAAGGTTGCTCCATTTATTAAAATACTGAAATACATCCATACTTGTTAGTAAGTGGCCTGCCACCATCCTGTCTGTGGTTCCTGTCCCCTGGCTCTCCCCAGTCCAGATTCCCCCCTCGACCATTCCCCTTCCTCTGGCCCAGCACCATGAAGGTCAGCCAGAACCTTACAAGCTCCAGAGGCCCCTCAGCATCCTGATTAGTGGGACCCCTAAGGTCTTGCCCAGGCATTGGCTCCCAGGAAGCCTCAGGGGGCTGGCACACTACCTGCTGGCTACTTAGGGCTCCCTGTTGGCATCTCTGAGCATCTACAAGAGATGGCAGAGTTTGGCTGAGGGCAGCACCTGGACAGACCATGCAGATATCCAGCAGGTGTGGTCTTCGAGGTCAGGTGACCCTCAACCCAGCCTCAGCCAGGGTCCCCTCCTCTGCCTCATGGGCAGGGGAGTTCAGAAAGGTGGGAAGATCAGAGCCGTTTCTTTCTCCCTCGATGGATCCTACCTGTGCAGGTAGGGGACCCAGACCTGGCGTCATGCACTTGCTCCCTGATGGAGTGCATTACCCCAAGCAAGGTACTGTCTGGCTTTGATGTCCTGGCACTGAAATGGCATTAATAATCGAGCCCTTTTGTGAAAATATCAAGGACAGGTGAGGTCATGTCTGCCTTGCAGTGAGCTCACCCGAAGCCAGCTGTGTGGTTACCAGGCAGTGTCGTTCCAGGCCTAGCTCTCTGTCTCAGCAGTGGCAGGAGTCGGGGAGTGTGGCTGAACTTGATAGCTGCAGAGATGACAAATCCTTTGTGCTCCAGCTGAGTTAGGGCCTTGCTGAATCCCTTTGAAATGATGTTGTTTCCTTGGTTACCTAGGACTCAGGAAGGAGGCCTAGTCTTCTTCATTTTTGTTTGTTTGTTTGTTTGTTTTTATAGGTTTAAGCTGTTTAATTTCTCTGCTGGGAACATCAACAGATCTTGGCATATTCCTGAATTGTCTGTCTTCACATCTCCAAGTATTTGTCTTCCAGGTACAAAGCTGTGATGGTTTATGGGGAAAATTGGGTGTTGATCATTCTGGCTAAATTAAAGCCTGCAGTGCGCATTCCCTGCCCAGAGGACTCTGAACCGGATGACCGGACAGTGCCACGCCCAGCCATAGCACCCATCCTTTGTGTGTGAAGCCCAGGCATCCTTTTGAACCATCCCATGCCCCAAGGCTGTGAGCAAGTGGCTCTCTGGCAGTCGGAGTATCCAGGCTGGCCTGGGTGGTGGGACAGGGAATTGGTGTCTCACTCGGTGAGAGCGTGTGACACAGCTGTGTGTAGGCACTTACGTGGGTCAGCTTGTGTGTGCAGGTGGGTGTGCTTGTGAGCGCAAGTAAGGGTGAGTGTATGTACATGATTGTTTGGGTAAGCATGGGTATGGATTTGTGTGTGAGCGTGTGTGCACGGCATGGGCCTCTGGGGGAGGAGCAGGGCTTGTCTAGGCAAACACATTCCAGTAAAGTGTCACTTGATTTCAAAACCTCAGAGATGCACCATGGCCGTGGATCAGTGAGGAGCACTTGCCTAGCACGTGCAAGGTCTTGGGTTCCATCCCCTGTGCTCCAAAAACACACCCAAAAGAACCCCCCAAGATGACCTGGTCTCAGCTGAGTGTGACTCTGGCTTTGTGGCCATCTGTCCCTCGGGGTCACTTCCACACGGTCCCTATCCACCTAGTCAGCCTGGAAGAGCTGGAAATGGGCCCTGTGGGTGGGGAGTCAGGGTGAAGGATTCAAACGGCAGCACACCCACATCTGCAGCGGCACTTTCTGAGGCTATGCGGGAGGATGGGGCTTGGCCTGGGCTGAGGAGGGCACCTGGTGCTGAAACGAGCAGAGAGAGGGGCACCCATGCTCTGGAGAGACCTCTTGGACAGCAGGGGAGGATGAAGGTTTGTACAGAGGAGGAGGAAACTCCAGGGCACAGAACCAAGAGCAGGGGCCCGGGGACCAGCACACAGCTTTGGGTGTTCTTTAGTCTCTGGCCACACTGCTGCCACTTCCCTGTCCCATCCAGTTTGGCCTTATTCATATCCCTGACCTCCTGGTCAAAAAGAAAGAGCAAAAATATAAACTGAATCCATGAAGACTCTAGAGGACTTGGGGGACTTCAGAACCAGAAACCCCTAGGAAGGAGATGAAAGCTATGTCCAACCCTCAGGGTGAGTCTGCTTCTGTTCTTCACTTATTGAAAAATAATCACCCCGGATTGTGTGTGGTGTTTGTTCCTCCTTATTGGTCCAGGCTGAGCTCAGGCCACAGTGATGTCTGAAACTGCATGACCGATGAGACATTCATTCACTCGTAGCTAAAGGACTTCCGAGTCACTGGTAGGAACTATCATGGTTTGTCCTGCTTTGGGACACTTGCTCAGCCCCTCACTTTAGCCAGGATGAGCCCCCAGAGACCATTGTGCCAATCCTGCCTACAAGCAGCCCAACAGGCCCTGCTGCATTGTAAACCATGTGGCTTGGTGTCCCCTGATCTCTACTATCAAATTTGCAGCCCACACCAATGAGGCATGTTAGAAAAATGATGTTTTGTAAGTGAGTGCCTTTGAAGGGCCTGTTTTGTAAAGCAGCTTAGCTGATTTCAAAAAGAAAAAAAAAGTCAGACTCCTGTCCATAAACACTCAGACTGTTCCACAATAGGCTTTGGGTTTGCAGGAGGATGACTAATGGCTTTAATTGCTAGCATCTGGCTGTCTGCTAGCAAGGGAGAGGATGGCCAGCTTTGTCACACATCTCTCACTGTTCTTGGCCCATGCAATCCCTTCTAAAAGGAGAAACAGGAAGTGCCTCACTGTTCAGAGTCCAAGGTTGGAGCCCATGGTTGTCCGAATCGCCCATTCGTGACTTCTTTCCTGGTAGCCTTTTGAAAGGCCCTTTGTGGGGGGTTTGTAGGTTCATTGTCTCCAAGGTTAACCCTCACCCTCACCCTTCACCAGTGGGAGGGGTCTCCCCAGAGTCCTGGTTCCCGGTGAGAAACATGGAGTGTTCACATCCCCCACCTGCGGGTTGCCAGGGCTTTCCGTGAGAGAGAGGAGAAAAAAGGGCATCCCCTCCTTTCTGGCTGGTCTCTCCATCTCTACTCCGGAGACCCCCGGTGCCAGACAGTGGGGGTCCGACGGGCTGTAAATGGAGAAGTAGCAGAGGCCCACTTGAAAGTCAGAGGACCCCGGGGTTTGGCCAAGGCTTGCTCTGAACCCAGAGAAGAGAGACTTCTTGGTCTGCCGTGGCAGCATCTTACTGGTTGGGACCTAGGTTAGTGCTCCACAGGCTGCTAGGGGACCTCACTCTGCTGGAACCATCCCGTTCTCAGGTTGCTTATAGGGCACAGTGGCCAGTGCACTGTTTTCCCAGAGAAGCAGCCTTATTTGCACCTTAGGGGATTCTGAGCTGCTTTATTCATGATCAGATAGTAGCGCACCAAAGAGTTAATCTAAAATAGCCACAGGCCTCTGCCAACAGCCAAGTGTAAGATGGAAATCAGACATGAACTAGTTCTAAAGAGGAGATAAAATGAAGGCTTATTATAGGAGGAAACATAGACAGCCCCGCCCCAGGAAAGAAAAAAGCTGACTGCTCCACAGACAGAGCAGCCAGCACCGAAAAGACACGCTCCACTTTTATGGGGGTCTCATAGCAATGTCAGTAATCATTCATGGGTTTGTTCTTGTTTTTCAAAAAAAGCCAGAGGACATTAGTGACCACATGGGCGTGAGTTTGCACATGGCCCAGATGCGCTAGAAATGTGCTCTACCCCTTCTCTGGGTGGAGCTCTTACATGAAAATGTGTTGCAGTGAAGGCACAGTGGTGCTTGGGGCCTTCATGCCCGTCTCTGCCCACACTGGCCTTACCCACTTTCCCACACAATGCACCTTCTTCTACTTGCCCATTCAGTCCACAACCCGATCAACTCTTCCCCACCGTCACTGCCACAAGTTGTAGTGTCTGCCTGTCTTCTCTCAGGCGGCTCCTCCAGAGTCTCACCTCTCTGTGGTGACTTCCAGTGGACTTCAGCATGATTGCTCCGCCGTGTTTCTTTGTGGGGCTTAATAACAGAAAGCTCCTAGACAAAGCAGACTTAACTGAGTTTATCTAGACAGAAAACAGCCCAGGAATGGGGCTACCCTTAGAATGAGAAGGTCCAGAGGGCAGACAGGAATGGGCAGAAGAAAGCAGAAATATGGAACTTGATGGGAACTGATCATTTCGAAGTTACTTTTCTTTTTTTGTAAGGGTGAAAGCAGAGGTGACTTACTTATCACGCCAGGGAAAACTGGTCTGTTAGTGGATTTGGCTAGTGTCTCTCTCTGACAGATTCTCAGAAGGTCAGATAAACACCTCGGCTTTGGTCTGGTGACCCAGACTTTTGCATGAGTGACTCCATTTTGTTTTGGTCTATTGAGGCCCAGAGCAGGAGCTCAATCCAAATCAGGAGCCTTCCATAAATTTTGTTTAAAGCCTTCCACAATTGACCTCTTTTTTAAAAAACTTGTGTGAGAAAAAGAAATTGTGTGAGAAATGGGGGTGGTGGGGTAGTAGGCCAGTTTTCTACCTCCCAGCTTTCCTCTACCTACTTCAAAGGACCCATCTCCGCAGGGGAGGGGACAAGGCTAGGCATGGTCCCCCCATTAATCTGCTGCCTCAGTTCTTATGCTCATCATTTTGTCTTCCTTTTCTTTGGAGGGTCTTTTAAGAATGCCTGTACATGACATTTGTGTGTGTTTGAGAACATGCTATTCTTCCATATTTCACCATTAAAACCGGTATTTGTTTTTCGTACAAAAAAATGTAATAGCCAAGCAAAAGCAAAGAGGAGTTTATCAAACAGGCTGCCAGCTTCCAGCTGAAGTGGAATTTTCTTCTCACCGCCGTGAGCAAAGCCATGACTCTCTGCCACAGGGACAGTTTTGGTAAGTCAGAGAATATAAAATAGTTTTGTATTCTGCCTTGCAGTATGAGTGTGCTCAGGAGGTGTGATCAATACAGTGAGTACCGTGAATGCTGCTGCTAAGTGCCACGGAGAAACACATGACACGGTGTCCTTATCCACCTCGTTCACCAGATCTGGCACCATGTGACTGCCGGCTCTTCCCCAAAGCCAAAAGTGACCATGAAAGATAAATGTTTTGAATTATTCAGGACACCCAGGAAACCATGAAGGCACAACTAAAGACACTCGTGAAGGAGGACTTCCAGAACTGCTTCAGAAAGTGGCAGGAATGGTGGGCTAAGTGTAGGCAAAGCCAGAGGGAGAATTCTGAGAGAGATTTACGGTAATGTGTCTTTTACTGTAATTTTTAAAAATGTAAACATTCGCCATATATTTCTACCACACCTCATACATTACTAAAGGACTAGGAATATAGCTTAGTGGTAGACCACTTGCTCGTTGTGTTCAAGGACCTGGATTTGAGTTTCAGCAAAGAAAGAGTGGGGGAAGAAAGAGAGAAAAGATGGAAAGAAGAAAAAAAGAAAGGGGGGAGGTAAAGAGGAGGAGGGAAAGAAGGGTGGACTTTTATAATCCAGTCATTCTCCTATTAATCTTTCTATGCAACATGTAACATAAATACACAAAACCATACAGGATGGCAGTCATCTTCGTGTTAATGACAAAGTGATAGTCCATTTAACACCTTGGTCCATCATAGGTGACATGTAGGAAGCCCACTCTTGCTTTTGAATTACATACTTGGTGATGTTTTGAGAAAAGCATTGAAAGACAACAGAAACGGAGGAAAAATTCAGTTCTTTGAAGCATCCATATTTAACTTTGCAGCACATTTTGCAAACTTCCTGGTCACTAGCTGGTTTTCCTCCATTGAGAAAAGTCATGCCTTTGATGAAGGTGCAGTACAAAGAGAACTGGAGGAAGAGAACTTTTTGCAGCTTCCTGGAAAGATTCATCCACTCAACAGACATTTCTTTTCTCCCTGTGATGTCCTGGGTGCCTTCCTGGGCAATAGGCAGCAGCAGTAGGAAGACAGGCAAAGTCCCTTCCCTGTTGGTTCACACATGAGTCAGGTGCATCACCCCTGGCAAGAGTGCTGCCAGGGGCCCTCCCAGTTGGCAGAGCAAGGTGACGGTAGCAGGCCCTGTCTAGGCCCTGTTCTAGGTCAGTTCTGCAGCCACATAGATGATGCCAGTTGAGAATAAGGCCCTGCTCTTTAGTGAACTCCCCACTGACTCTATTGTATGGTAATGCTTTGCCAGGACAAAGAGGTGAAGCAGAGCTCCTGTGCAATCACAGAAACAAGCCCAGACCTGGGGCTGTCTTGGCCTTTTACAGTCTACCTTCTCTGCACTCAGTGCAGAGTCAAAGCCCTCACACCAGTGGTTTTTCCTCTTCCTGTGGCCTGTAGCTCTCACAAGGTTGAGGCGGCCAGGCCTTGGTGATCAAGTTACTCTTAATCAGGCTGCACATCTCAGGCCAGGATCTCTCACCTCCATCCATCCAGGGAGAATGCATACTAGGTAGGGACAGGTCATAAGAGCTTCAAAATGGACAAAAGGCTTTGAAAAGATAGTGCGCAACCTGGGCTTGGGTGGTACATTCCTGGAATCCTAGCACTCCAGGAGGCTGAGGCAGGAGCATTGCAACTTCAAGCCCAGCCTGGACAACTTCAAGATTTAGCAAGATTTTTTTTTTCAGTACCAGGGATCGAATTTAGGACCCTGCACTTTTAAGGCAGGCATGGTGCCACTGAATTAAATCCTTGACCCTCTGTCTTTAAAAACAAGATTAAAAAAGAATTGAGGATGTAGCTTAGTGGAAAGGTCCTGGGTTCAATCCTCAGTACCAGAGGAATAAAAAAGATTGAGCACACCTTTTGTCATTTGGAAGCTATTCTATAGCTCTGTGCACACCAGCAGCATGGTAGCCATGCAGAGGAGTCTCGGTCACAGAAGAGCGAAATGCATGTGTCCGGTGGATGCATTTGATAACTGCTGAGAACATAGCTACTCGCATCTACGTGAAACCAATGCCACCATTCTTCACAGCCTCCTTCGAATCAACTGCAACCTCTTCTGAGTGCCTTCATTAAAGGGCTAAATAAAATTGTATCAGGGCCAAGTTCTATCTTCATTTAAATATTATCTGTAAGTAATTGCAGTAGGCCAAAGCTCCTGCTCTGTTTTCAGGCAAACATGAAGGATCATCTTTCTGGAAGAGTGGGGGGCATATCCAGCTCTGGGAATGGAACCCAGCACCTATAGGACTTACTTTCCCCGTCTCACACTAGATGGGCTTTAAATCCTCTGCGGAGGCTTAGACTGCCCATTGCATGTGGGTCACTGCAAGAGCAATGGGCCCATCACCTAACCACCTCCCACCCACTCCCAAGTCAGCAGTAGGAGCCAGGCTGTGCCTCAGAAAAGCCGTCAGTTTCACAGTGACGTCTTTATTGCCTCTCTGTCTGCAATCTATCAAGTGTATTCATTCCTGCTTGCTATTTAAATGTAGGCTCCTGGCATCTGTTACATTTGCTGCTTTTGGAATACGTGACTCACATATTTCAGTCATGCCTGGAAGAAGAAGAGGAAGAGGAGGACGTGGGGAACCCCAAGGATGTGCTTCCAGATGACCAGTCTCTCATCCAGCCAGTCCAGACCCTTTTCCACCCTCTAGATTCTCCACTACCTCAGGAGTACGAAAGCCCAGGTGCTGGGCCACCATGGGTGACACTGGGACACAAAAGTCATGGCCTCAGTCCCATGGGTGTGAGCAGCACGGTCCTCTGGGTCCTGGGCTTCCTGGTGGACACTGCCACGAGCAATAAGGTAGAGACACCAGGACAGACGCACACACACACACACACACACACACACACACACACACACACACACACACACCACAGAGTCATTTCCAGGGAAATAAAAACTACACAGTGGTTAAGAATCCCATAAAGGTCACAGGGTCCAACACAGATAACAGATTCTAAAAAACCCTCTTTGCTTGCACTCATTTTGCCAGGAGTGGTTACAATAGTTTGCTTGCCATCTCGGAACAGCTCAGATGCACAGTGCAGTGACAGGTGATGTGGTTAGGAATCCAGAATCAAGGGATGGAAGGTCCTGCCTTCCCAGGGTTCTCCTGCCACAGCTGGACTTGCCGAGCCCTGGAGCATCCCTGCTAACCTGAGCTACACACTCAAGGTGCTGCCAGCATCCCAGGAAAGGACACGTTGACCAGAAAGCATTTTGACACAATTAAATTGGGGCACATTTTAAAAGATATAAATATAAGAACTGCTATTTATCTAACACCCAGACTTTACCTTTCACGCCCATTTGAAGTTGTACAATCCTGTAGAATATCTGTGCTTATTGTTGCCAAGGGATGAATGAAGAAACTGGGGCTCAGAGAGCAAAGGGTTTACAAGGAAACACGGGAGACAGGGGAACACAGGTCGGACCCCTGGTCCACCTTCTCTCAAGCCCACTCTCAATGCACAACAGATCAGAAGAGAGCAGTCCAGGCCCCCAAAAGAGCAGGAAACAGGTTGGAGAGATCAAAAATAAGAGATCAAATGTTAGCAAAAGAGCCAGTCTGATACGGGAAGCAAAAACATGCCATGGTGGTGCACACCTGTAATCCCAGCACTTAGAAGACAGAGGCAGGAGGACCACTGTGAGTTCAAGGCCAGCCTGAACTACCTAGTGAGACCCTGTCTCAAGCCACAACAACAAAGATGACAGCAATTATCTTAGTATTGATTCCTCAAACATCTATACACATTTGATGTTCAGCCACTATTCGCAGTCTTCCATTTGTGGCCACAAGTTCCCTCTTGAATAGATGAGTTACATTTAGTAAGAGACCATTAGAAGCAAGTATTTCACCCTTCATTTGGATCAGCAGTAGCCAGGGCCAGGAGAATAAGTCACAGTGTAAAATTGTTCATTCCCTATAGTCTTCAACATAGTCAGATCCTTCCAGGATCCCTTCTTCCTGAACAAACTCTCCTTCTGGGCTTTCCACAGTAAGGAGAACCTGTACAAACTGTTACTCAGGTAAGAAGGCGTGTGAGACAGACACTGTATACAGGAGAGAGGAAATACCTCTGTCGGGCTTGTATGTTCTTCTGTCTGTCTGTATTTGATCTTTGCTTTTCCGTCTGAGGACAGTAAATTCACTTATCCAGCTGTATGCAATGCCCTCTGTCCACTTGATCCAGATGTTGCTCCTGGATTAAGTCTGGCTGGTCACTGCTCAAAAGCCAGTATTAGGAGATGAGAGTTGGTGGGAAGAAATTAGATTTATTCAAGACTGGCGTCTTGGGGGCTCCATTCTGAGTTGAATAGTGTGAAGGGCTTTTACAGGGTAGGAAAAGGGGAGAAGGGCACAAAAGCTGCAAGCTGAGTGAGGTCGCTCTCACCTAGTCTTGTGTCTCTCTTTTCTTTTCAGAAAATGGCACTGGACAGGGGCTAGCTCCTCTAGCTCAGCTGGGACAGATGCACTACTTTTATGCAAGTTAAATCCCACAGAAATTTACATGCTTTGCGACAGAACTAAAAGGTCACCAGATAGTCTGGGTTCTATAAATCTAAAGAAAGATAGTTAACACGCTGATCCTTTAGGCAGAGCTTCTCTAGAGAGTGTAGAAGACCAGGCAAAAGGGAGGGGCTGGAAAGGAATCTGAGAGCAGCAACCATATGGAGGGGCAAAGGCTCTGCTGAGGACAGGCCCTGTTGTGTCTGTAAATGCACTCCTGCCTCCTCTGTGAGAGAGCAAAGCAGATGTGGTCATGAAACTTGAAACATAAGATGGTGAAATCCTGGAGACTTGATGTCCAGATGGAGGCTGGGCCTCCTGGGCTGGGAACACTTAAAGTGCCATTTGGGGAGCGGGTGTTTCAGGGCTGTTGAAGGAGGCCTTGTCCCATCTGGATAGGGGACTGCTTGGCTATGCTGTGCCATAAACGGCTCTCCCTGCTCCCTGCACTCTGGGGGATGTGCCCAGGCCTGGCGGCAGAGCCCCTCGTGTGCTGCCCAGCAGTGACACAGCTGAGTCAACTTGGGAGCATTCTCTTGAGCCAAACAGGGCCAGGGTTAGTTCTGGGCCACAGTGCTCAGTTCCCGGGAGTAGTTCTGTTCACGGCTGGGACAAGAGGACAAGCCTAGCATAATAATCTGTCAAAGAACCATTAATCGGTGACTCCTGTAAAGCACAGAAAGAGGAGTTTATTCGGGACCATTGTGGTAGGTTAGGAACCACAGCAATGGGCTCTTGAATAGAAGAGACTGGTCCCAAGTCCAAGTACAACAGGGCAAGGGGAATGGATAGCCAAGGATCAAGGTGGGGCCAATAGGTAAAAAACCGCTGAGGGTAAACATCGGGGGTTGAGAGGATCTGGCTATGCTGACCTAACAGGGTTCTCACAGAAGAGGAGCCAGGATGACCAGTGTCACCTAGGTGTGGAGGACAAGGAAGCTGCTCGGACATGAGTGGGGTCAGATATTAAGGGTGGGAGGTGCTGGCTAAACTGGCTTAGCAGGGCTCATTGCTAAGACTGGATTTTAAAGAAATGCACTGAGGGGCCTAGAGAGAGGTGCAGGAGCCTGCAGAGTTTGGTCAAGTGGAGTCTTAGTCAAGTTTTGCTTGCTCCTTAGTCAGAGAGAGGACCCCGAGTCTACTTTTAGGCAGGTGTGGGGTGCACAGGGCCTGCTCCAAGTCCCTGCAGGCCAGGGCTTCCTGGGCAACCTGTGCGTCCCTGTGAGGCAGGAACGATCCTCAACCCCACTTCCCAGACAGCATCACTGAGGCTCTTGGAGGAGCTGGATAATTTTCCCAAGGTCACCTCACCAACATGGGAGAACATGAATCCACACTCCCCCAGGGCTCCTGGCACGGCTGTCTTCCCAGAGAGGACTCTGCCATGTGCTCAATTCCAAAATCAGGGGCTTCACATTGAGCAAGTGGGCAATTCTCACACTTCGATTCCTAGAGTCAAACTCCACCTCTTCCACCTATTAGCTGAGAACCACGGGAAGTTGCTCAATTCAAAGGGATAATATGGAATTCTATAGGAACATTGTGAGTTTAGACAAGTTAATCATTCTGAAATGCTTAGAAACTGCCTTACAACATGGTAAGAATCCAACAGCTGCTCATCATAATTATTATTTCTCCAATAAACCCTCCCCATCTGATGCCTTCCCTCACTACTCTCCACCCAACTCCCGGCTCCTCTGAAGCTCGTTACAGTAAGGTTGGACCTATATTGAATTGGCGGAAACAATAGAGAACATATTAAATATTTAATTGAACTACATAAGGAAGCGATACAAATAGATGAATGACAGATAATCCAAGGTAATATGCATTAGAGATTAATTAAACCCACTCTGTTCCTTCCTGCCTGCTGAATTAGCTATAATGACTTAAGCTACCACCCAAAGGCTCTGCTCCTCTCACTTTCATTGCCTTCCTTATTCAACACTCGCACTCATCATCAATAAAAAGCACACCCCGGCTGTCCCATCTGCGCTCATCTGCTGAGTTAACGCCCCATGCACTGCACATCTGCGACAGCTCCTACGCTGAGCGATTAGCGCTGCCCCACACCTAGGTAACTACCGAAGTCAGCATTCCGCAGCGCCACGTACATCTGTCACTCCAGCAACATTCAAAACAGGAAGATGCCAAAGGGAGCTTAGGAATAAGGCAAAAATAAATTACTGATGTTAAATGTGGAGTATTCTTTTAAAAGAACAAACCACGTGGTTTTCACATTAGGTCAGGTACTCAGGATTAAATCAGAGTAAACTATTAAGAGGGAGGGGAGATGGGGGGGAGAGAAAGATACAGAGAGAGAGCAAGAGCGAGAGCGAGAGAGCGAGAGAGAGAGAGAGAGAGAGAGAGAGAGAGAGAAAGAAACAAGAGACAGTGACAGAGAGGAGACAACTCTCCAATCCTGGGGAAAAAGTGAAAACAATTTTCTGAAAAAGAAGAAAGATATCTTTTCATTGATTGGTGATGTTATTGTTGAATCTGGAGAAAGAAAAACATACATTGGCGAATTTTGACACCCGTGTTTGTTGCACAAATCTTTGTCACACTGCATCAGCTTGTGGAGGATTTACTGACGAAATCAGACCAAGACAATACATTTCTGTTGGTTTGAAAGTACTTGTGGGCAAGGATTTGTAAGTCTTCTCGGTTCTCCCAGAGCTAGGGAAGGATCTCCTATTGTCCCTGTTCCCCAGGCAGGTTAAGTGGGAGGCAGCGGGAGGCTACATCAGAAGCTGTGAACCTCGTAGAAGCTGTGAACCTCTTGAATCTGTTACTACCTAAATGAGCAAGTGAGCAAGCAAGCGAGCGTCCCTTCATCAGGCATCAGATGACTGCTGCAGGTTCCTCTCACTCCTAGTGTCCTCTGATGGAGGGTGGAGGGAGAGCCTCTGTGGCAGCCGGAGAGGCCCATGTCAGCTCCAGGGACTGAGGAGGACGCAGGGCTTGGTGTCCTTGTGGGGAGGAGGCCACAGTGATCAGTGCTTCCGCCATGTGAGACCCCTGGGCATCTCCCTAGAGCTGCCCTGAGCTCTGTGCATCTTTCACCAAGCAGTGCACTCCGCTCCTTCTCCTGGGAGGAGCCCAGCCTCCCTCTTCCCCAACCCTTGCCCCCTCTAGGGTTTGCGGGTACTCTCGTGGCATCCTCACCAGGCCTAGGCGTTCTCTTGGGAAAGGAGGAGCTCCCCTAGCAGGGACACAGGCACACTCATCATATTACGTCCCCAGGCAGGGACAAGAGCACAGTACATGAGTTCCAATGGCTCTTCCTGGAGAGTTCTCATCTCTTCCTTTCAAATATGTCTCCCTCATAGCTCGTCCAAGTGTTGCTGGAGGACAAGGCCACCAAAAGCGCCATGAGACTCAGCCTTCCCATGGGAGAAGAGGCCCTCATCACCCTGAAAGATGGACGAAGATTTGTGATCCACATATCTGACGTTCCCTAAAGGTCTGAGAAAGCAGGGCTAGCATGAAAAAGAAAAATGGTTTAAACGAACAAGCCATGAGGAAGCAGCTAGAGTTGCCTTCTTAAAAATATGTTAAATCCTAAAGCTTTTATATTGCTATGAAAAAGGTCCATGTATATACTAGAGGTAGCATTTATGTTCATATGTATTCCAAAGAGTTGATCTCGATCAAACTATAAGCTGATTTGAAGAATAATTTTTGTCTCTATTGTTTTTCTTCTGGACTTTTCCAAGTGTTTTTATTTTGGGATCTAACCAATGAGACATTTAGGAAATCCGGTTGGGACTACGAATGGTTAAGTCTCCAGAGAAATAAACTTTGAAGAACACGAACTGGCATGGCATATACCTGTAATCCCAGCACTCAGGAGGCTGAGGCAGGAGGATCGCTGTGAGGTCGAGACCAGTCTGGGCTACACAGTGAGTTCCAGGTCAGTCTCAATTACATGTCTTAAAAAAAAACAACAAAAAAAAAAAAGAAAAGAAAAGAAAGAAAAAGAAAAAGAAAAACAAAGAAAGAACAAATCATTGTTATACCAGATCCATTTTTATGTAACTGATTATAATATTTAAAAGAAATTTAAAAATTCATGCTTAACATGATTTCTCTTACAAATGAGAAGAATAGAGAATATATTATTTATCTTATATTACATATGAAATGAACTAGATTTACCTACAAAATCAATTTCATTTCCCTAAATGCTTAGAAATGAAAGAACAAATCATTGTTATACCAGATCCATTTTTATGTAACTGATTATAATATTTAAAAGAAATTTAAAAATTCATGCTTAACATGATTTCTGGTACAAATGAGAAGAATAGAGAATATATTATTTATCTTATATTACATATGAAATGAACTAGATTTACCTACAAAATCAATTTCATTTCCCTAAATGCTTAGAAATTTTAAAGAACCATAAGACACCTAAAGATTCATTAAGAATTATTCCTGGGTACTGCCTGCCTTGCAAGCACAAGGACCCGAGTTCAATCCCCTATAATAACAACAACAACAACAAAAATTATTCCTCTTTATGGTTAAAAAAAGTAATTATTTTTCAGAACCCTTTATGACTCCATTTACTAGGTTCTCCCCTTCCCCACTATCTCTAGAAGGAACAGCCCTGGTCCCTGGTCATGATCCTTTCCCTAGTGACCACTGACTGACTCTGAACATCACGGGTCTGCTCACAAGGAAGCAGACGATCCATGGCCTGAGTCAGAACAAAAGCAGCAACAAGATTTATAAGTCTGGAACAGTGCGTTTTGTTTGCATATTTTGGGGTAAACTGATTAGCTAAGAGCTGGCAGAGGTCATCCCGGGGGTGCTGTTCTTGAATACCCAAGTTTATCAAAGAAAGCGATTTCAACTGTGTACCTGCAGGAGTGGAAGTCAGGACGCAAGGTGAAGATAGGGAGTCGGGAGGGGTCTGAAATTGTTGCAATTTTTTTTTTCATTTTTCAAACGCTGGGGATGGAATCCAGGGCCTCACACGCACAAGGCAAGCGCTCTACCACTGAGCCAAAGCCCAGCCCCTCTTTGTGCTCTCGGACACCTGGGTCAGCCAAGGCAGGAGGCCAAGCAGGTGAGAGTGGCCACAACATCGCGCCCTGCAGGCCTCGAGGCCCACAGCACTTCTTGGCAGGAAGAGCTTTTCTTGCGACTATGTGTTGATAAAGCTTCACGTTTTGATTATTTCCCTGGGACAGACACTATGACTGATCAGAGAAAGCCTCCTATTATTTGAAGACAAATGAGAACAGGAAATCTCCCTAGCCCTCACTCCATACTTCAAGCTTGGATTTTTTTTTTTTTTTTTTTTTTTTTTTTTTTTTTT